TATATGTGTTATGCACAATTTACAGTGCAATGCGTAGTACGTATTGCCAAATTTAAGAATAGTGCTATAAATAGAGAGAGAATATAGAGAATAACCATAAATTCAATAGAGACTAGGCTGCAACTCATAAATAATTTATCTTATAATAATAAACATAAGTTAGCTTGTAGCCCATGGTTGTATTTGCGTATTTTTCTATTGTATTTATATCTGTACTGATTCTATGTAGTATTCACTTATTTAAGCTATAAGTTGAAGCGTATATTTATCATAAGCCATACAGCTTATAACATGCATGCTAGTGCCTTATATAAACAATAAATGTTGTATAAAATCAAACACCATTATATTTTATTCGAATTCAATTTGATGATCGATCAGTACAGCTCATGATGTTATTTATACATTCTGTTAGAGGCTATTTACTTATCTAAACAATATTGTGCGAATTGTGTATATACCTGATTAAATCTTCATAGTCAGATGTGGACAAAGGAATTAGCTGGAATATAGTAATTGTTGATCGCCTTAACAAGCTAGAAGCTAGTTTTATGAATTGTTCTACGGAACCAGTCCCCAATGGGCAATTGAACTAAAAAGTTCATTGCTTACTTAAGGGGTTCAATAGAACTAACGAAGGATTACCTTTCGATACGTTACCCCTCTAACGAATAACTGACCAAGACCAAGACCAACATCAAGATCGAGACCAAGACCAAACAAAAGCAAAGCCGACCAGATCATGACGTCTCAATTTGAAAATCTGTGTAAAAATGATAAAAACAACTACAAAACCTGTCGATTCGGGCCGCACGAGGCACGCGCGTCACTAAACGAAAAATGATGAATGGAACGGCGCGACTGTCCGAAGGGGAGCGCGGGTGGGTAGCAGGGGTGTGGCGCGACTTGAACCCTGGCTCTAAAGTAGCGGCGTCCGCGTTGGCGGCTCGTTTGTTGACGCGCCAAATGCCACAAGCAACGACGCGTCGTCGACGTCGACGTCGGCGCAGGCGCGGGCGCAGCCACTGGCGCAGGCACTGGCGATGCAATTAGACGATAATGCAAGCCAAGTCAAAGTAGAAAAAAGGTTATATATATGTATGTATATATTAAATAGGTTTTTGGTTTCATTTTGGGTGTACTTGCAATGAGTTCTGTCCCAGCCAGTGGCTGCGGGGCGTTTGTTGACCGCGTTGTTTGAGCGGCTGGCTGGGCTCCGTAAGCGGCGATTGCAACATTGCAAGATATGAATTCTGTGGCAATTTAAATTAAAATCTGCACACGCTGCAATATATAATAAAAAATTTAACATTTTGGTTTTGATTGGCATTTTCGTGAGCAATTAATCTTTTCTGAAAATTATAATAGAAGTTACTTTTATTAAAGTCTTCAAAATGATTTTGAATATAATAGCAGAATATCTTTTATCCACCACCAATCTCAAATATCTCAGATAGCGTATTACGCAGAGATACTGTTGACTATTCTTAAAGATTTCAAATTGCAGTTTGCAGCTAAATATGCATAGAAATTCAGTTGATATTCGAATTGTACATCTTTTGATGAAAGTAAACAGTATACTATATAATAAATGTAGTTGTTATTTCACTAATTCCAACTATGGCTGAAGAAATTCCCCAAACCGTATAAAACAGCTTTGAGGACGTATTTGTTGTTTGTGTGTTGTCTTTTCCATTGACCCATTGGACTTGCCGACAAATTTTCATCGCTTTCCAGCGCGATCATTAATTATGCGGCATTAGAAGGTAAACGGGCATCGGGGATCGTTAATCGCCAACGCAGTGGATATTTTTGATTATTAATCTCAATTTCCATTGTGTCCGTGGCACACGCTAAACTGCATTTTCGATAATTTATCAATTGGCTGGAAGGCCTTCAAGAAAACAGATATATTAAACAGACACAAAAAATAAAAAAAAAACTCTGTATAAAAAGTGTGGCATTAAAATTGTTTTGTCTGTGGTTTTAATTAGGGCTTGGTCGCTGCAGCGCTGTGGGCGTGACAGCGATGCGCATCTAATGATCGGAAGTTTGACACGTGTCTGGATGGATGCTGAGGCGTGGGCAGCATCGCTGACCACAGATCGCAGCAGCGGCAACAACAACAAAAGCAAAAGGCGTGGGCCGTGTACGAGCCCGCCCTAGCGTCCAATTATTGCGTGAATATGTTAATTGAAAAACTTTATTAATTGAGCCATGAAAATCATTTTCACCATGCCAGCAAACAGAGAGACAACCGCAAAGCCAGGCCAGGCCAGCTACCTCAGGAAGTTGACCAAATAGTCTGTGCGGGCATTTACCAACGTAATTCGAATCGATCGGCTGTCGAATGGTCGACCGGGCAGCCAGCTAGCCAGCTATGCAATATCTACTGGCTGCTGCTGCTGCTGCTGTCTTGAATGATCAATTAAATTTTTGTATTTTTGCCAAAGTCGGGTATTAATTTGCATGCGCTTTTTGTGTTGTTGATCGCTGCAGTGATCAAGCGACTGCTGCACTCAGGCACGGACACAGGCTCAGACACAGGCACAGGTTGCGCCAGCGATCAGTCCAGTTGCTGGCCTGTTCGCCTGTCTGGTTGTCGGGCTGTGCTCCATTTGAAAACCATTTTAAAAGACTACAAATTGCCTGTCCAATCCACCGATCGATGCCTGCACCGCACTGCCGACTGCCGTCTGCCAGTCAGTCAGTCAGTCAAGTGCCAGGCAAAATCGATTGCAGAGCTTCGATTTGACCTCGACTTGGCATGTGGACTTGTGTTTTTTTTTTTTTTTTTTTTTTTTTTTTTTTTTTTTTTTTTTTTTTTAAAGGGGGCTCTATGACGCTCGTATTGAGTGCTACTCTTTCATTTTACAAATGGCTAAATTGTCTTGCAGACATTATGTTTATGTCGCAAGACTTTACTTTCGCATAAAGAAACACAACAAAAATGGGCGGGTGTCGAAAATGATAAAACGTGTTTGGCATTGCAGTGCTTGATGCATCCGTATGCATAAGTTCCTCGATGGGTTCAGAGAATCTTCTGGCCTCGCTGTATCGACGAGAGTCGTATTACTTGTTGCATTATAGAGCTATAGCGATAAATTATAAGCCCGTGCTGCTTGTATTGTAATACATATTTACAATTTCCAGTTTTTATATTTTGGAGCTTACGAGACTCGGTGCTATCGACTCCATTCGCCGTCCCAATTCAGAATATTTTCCCAAAACTAATTTATCCTTAATTTCGGTGCAGTGCATATACATTATATTTACCCTACACTCACATTTTTATACCCTGAACCTATGGAAAATGGACATAACTTGCAAAATAAAGCAAACAAATGTATCCAGAATATAAAAAAAAAAAGGCAACAACCGCGTGATATTTAAATAATGTTGCATTTGGCTTGCTCGTAAACTTGATCGTTGATTGCGAAAACTTCATCTTAATTCGGAGCAGAAGAAAATATTGAAACTAAAATATGGCATATGCAGCCAACGGATGAGTGGCAAAAGAACATTGAACATTAATTGAGCTCTACTGCAATAGTCTATCTTAAGAGCGCATCTCCAATAAATGATCGGAATGCTCAACTGCGGGATGCACCTTGAGATTAAATCTAAGCATACGAGAATAAGATTTCCTCACATTCCGCAATTTACTAAACAGCGACTGCATTCGTTCTTTTTGCACTCTCATATAATTATTATGGGCTCTAGTATTTGGGGTTTCAATGAACAAAGCTGTCATACAAACTTGCGTAAATGTATTTTATATTTGAAATTTATTGTATATTGTATTTGACAATGTAGGGGAAATAAGATGAGATATACCTGCATTGACATGAATTAATATTAAAACAAGTAAGACGGTACTAGGCGAGACTGCTCGACTAGGAGATACCCTGAACCCTTCAAGCTGATATTCTAATCAT